GTCCGTCGGTGGTAAGACGATGCTGGCCTGGTCGGATCACACTGCTCCTTGGATCCACGCAGAGAACCTAAAAATGCTGGGGCTGAGGTATGGGAACTCAGTGCCAGATGTAAGGAGTAAGAATACTCATAGTGTAGTATGTTTTTTAAAATTATTTATTAAATCCAATAACGTAAACCATAAAAGTTACAAAACGCATGCCTGCAGCCTGTAGCCAGTATAAGCAGCTTGAAAAAGCAGCTTCGTAACACCATCGCCCGAATATACTGGATCCACCCACACATCCTAAGCTCTTTGGTAATCTGAGGGGTTTTTTTCCCTGTAAGAAATGTCAAATATGCAAGTACGGCAATAGACCTAGGAGGAAAGTCGAATCCTTCGCTTCCACCATAAACTGGGAAAGATTATGAAATTACTACGTTCATCTCTTGTAACTCACGTTATGTAGTGTATCTTCTGGAGTGCCCGTGCCAGAAGCAATACATTGGAAGGACTACGAGGAGACTTCGTGATCGCCTTCGCGATCACGTCTATAATATCAAGAGGGGTTTTCGCGAACATTCCCTATCTAAGCATTACAGAGACCACCACCATAGAGATCCCTCTACCCTCAGGTTTACAGGTATTGACGTTGCACAACATCACTGGAGGGGTTCAAATAGAAATAGGGAAGTCTCGCGTCTTGAGACCAAATGGATTTTTGAGATGAAGTCTATGACACCGTTAGGTCATAACGTAGAACTGGACCTAAACTGCTTCATCGACAACAGTTGAAGCTTACACATGGACTGACCTCACACATGATAGTTTATGGGTTGGTCGTTTCTATTTTCCCATGGTCCCTGATAGTTGCACAACGGCTCTTAAGGGTTTATGAGGGTTTTCAGTGTACTTTGGCCATTTTAACATACCTGGGCAGTTGTAGCACATGTTCAGTTTTTAGGTCACTTCTTAAAGAAGTTTTCCAAATATTCGCTCTTTTCACATGCGTATATGTGGGTTGATGTATTAATCATAACAGATGCTCCTTTTTTATGTCTTCTTTCCTTGTAATTGAGGTCTGTAATATTTTTATATTCTTATGGATCCGCATTTATTTCAGTGGGTCCTATGGGTGGTAATTCTGGTGCGTCATCATATTAGACGCATCATTATTACTATCATTATTATTTTTATGATATATGCACTTTTTTGTATATGAATGTCATATGTGTATGGTTTTATCTTAAGGATTAGGGAGTATCCCCTCATTTCTGTATTTTGGTTTTACATTTTATATGATTTATGTTATTTTCATTTGACATAGAGATACATATATATACGTATAGTGGATCTCTGAATAGATGGGCGCCCGTGTCTCATGCACATGTGTGATATGGGATATAGGAATTAGAAGACCTGATCCCTCTTATGCCCTAGAACCGATAATATACTCATGAAGTCCCTCCTGTGGGGTATATAGCTTGATAATATCCAGAGGACTGTCGCCTGACTGTTTCCCTGTATACGGTGGATCAGTCATTCTGGTCCCCTCTTTCACATTTCAAATCCACTAGAAAATGGCCGCCGTCCCGGTTCGCGCATGCGCACTGTGGATCGGCTGGATGTCTATATCCAACCGAGAAAATGGCGACCGGACTATTCGCGCATGCGCAGTGGGACACGCGGCGGCCATCTTTATGGTTTCTAAACCACAGGAAAATGGCGCCCGCGCATGCGCAGTAGCGCCGATCGTCAGCGAGGCGGCGCTACTGTGGTTTGGCGCGATTTTTGAATCATATAAAGAGGCAAACAGAAGTCAGGCATGCATGGCATCACCCCTACAGTAGACGTGTATTGACACGAAACGCATCTAGGAGGAGCCTTCGCACGCCTTGACGTTACGCCGCCGGGTCAGGAGGTCCGGCGGCCCACCTTTGGTATTCACTGGTCAGTGTATAGAATCTCTTTTTCAAGCTGCTTATACTGGCTACAGGCTGCAGGCATGCGTTTTGTAACTTTTATGGTTTACGTTATTGGATTTAATAAATAATTTTAAAACATACTACACTATGAGTATTCTTACTCCTTACATCTGGCACTGAGTTCCCATACCTCAGCCCCAGCATTTTTAGGTTCTCTGCGTGGATCCAAGGAGCAGTGTGATCCGACCAGGCCAGCATCGTCTTACCACCGACGGACCATCTGGGTACTATAAAGCAGCGCCTACATGGGACCCCGGCTACATGTAACCTGTACATGCGTATTAATATTGCGCTTCTGGTAAGCAGGCAATTTATCTATTCCTGGGATTGGATTGCATCTATACTCCCTGAGAGTCCCCCATCACTGAACTGTTTATCATCTTCAATATTCCTATATTTGATGACCGCATATATAATTGTCACTTGGATATTATTTGTAGCGCTGCACTTTATTGTTTCTAATAATAATAATACCTTTAGGCCTGGTAAGACTTTTAGGGGAACCCTGCCTCCCAAAAATGGGAAGAAGAATGCATGACCCCCCCCGTAAAAGCCTGGTAGGACTTTTAGGGGAACCCCACCCCCAAAAATGGTGATGTCACCACTAGCTCCGCCCAGTTGTAAACATCTGACCAGCAAATGTCAGACTGCGGCGAGTGCTCGGCGGTGTGGACGGGTCATCGTGACAACGCTGTACGCTATGATTGACAATGGATTACAACGATGGAACCATTTATTGGCTTTTTTTTTAACAAAGGACTTGTCAAAAATGTTTGCTTTGTTTTTTGTTCGATAAAGGATTTTTTCAAAAGACCAGTCTCTATTTTTTACTACATGTAACCCTTTAGTGAATGGGTAGGGCTACAAGTATCCCTTACTCATTCACAAAGGGGGGGGCAGCATCAGAGTGCCCCTTATTTAAATGGGTACCCTGATGCTCATGAGCCCACCTGCCCGCAGACCCACACAACCACCGTTCAAGAGTTGTGGAGAAGAGGCCCTTGTCCCCAATCCGCATGCCAGGCCTGTGCTTGGATCAAGGATCTGGTAGGAATTTAGGGGGGATCCCAAGTTTTTTTCCCAATTTTGGGGGTGGGGTTCTCCTTAAAAGTCCTACCAAGCCTAAAGGGCCTGGTATGGCTTTTAGGGGGAACCCCATGCACTTTTCTTTTAAAATGTTTTACTGTGGGGTCCCTCCTAACCTTCCTACTAGACCTAAAGGGTCTGGTAAGGATTGGGGGGGGCACCCCATGCTGTTTTTTTTTTTTTTTTTTAAGAAAAAAATGTAATTTTAAAAAAAAAGTCAGTCCTGCTGCAGCAGGATCTATACATTGTACAGATGTGCAACTTTGCAGGTAGGTTAAGGGGACCCCCCATGCATGATATTTAAAGGAATTTTTTTTTTCACCAATTCATATCCCTCAAGCCAGTACCCGGGTCCCCATACCCTTTTATGGCCAATAACTTGCATATAAGCCTTCAAAATAGGCCTTTGAATTTACAAGTTTGAGTCCCTTGGACTTGCATTGAGTTCGAAGTCGAACTTTCATTCAGTTTGAGTGTTCGACCGCAAACCGAACAGGAGGGTGTTCGGCCCATCACTATATATAAACAAGTGTTAATAAGTCCAATCAATAAAGTGCTTGATTTCTCGAAGTGAATACTGTGACAACAACCAAATGGATATGTAAAATGCGTGCACTGTGAATCCTCCACCATAGATATGCAGCCTCTTACCAAATCCTCTGATCTCAAACAAAGGAGATCAGAAAGAACCTGTGTATATGTATTCAAATACCCTTGGTAACGCTCTCCTCTGCATTCAAATTTCTGTGGTCACGGTGTCAAAATTCAAGGTGTATGTGTCTCTCTAGAAACACCTTTAAGATACCCTCCAAAGAGAACCACAGGAGTCACGATAGTGTTAAACCATATAAAATCACTTTATTAAAACCAGACATATACCAATAGGATCAAAAGGAGGCAAATAACAGAGCAAAATGCTGAGACACCATTCCTGGGAAATATGTGATGTCACCGGCTAGACCTCGCCCAACATGTTTTGCCACCAATCAGCATAGTTAGGGTTGTGATGCTTTGTGGTGGAGGATTTACAGTGCATGCATTTTACATGCCAATTTGGTTGTTGTCACAGCATTCACTTGGAGTCAGAGAAATCAAGCACTTTATTGATTGGTTATATTGGATGCACCTTTGTTTTTAACATTTATATATTGATTTATGAGCGGTTCTAAAAAAAACCCTAGCTCCCTTCTAGTGTGGCATGCAGCCATCAGCTCTGCTCCATCCTGTCCATTTCGGGAGTAAACTCAGAAAAGCCTAACACTTCTTTGTTACCTGGTACTTTGAATGCAGCCTGAGAGCTACAATCTGTCAGTGCCAAAATGTCTGGCCATCCTGATACAAAATTTAGTGACTTCAGTACTCCCTGCTGAGAAAGACACCCTACCTCCTGACTCTTTTGCTTGGTCACAGGAGCTCACTAATCAATCATGCAGATCAGCTAACTTATTTAGGTATTGCTTTTCATTTACGCTCCTTTCACCTGTCCATTTATGGATGAAAAACAGACACCTATGCATTTCTATGGACTAGCGAATGTAAACAGATGATCATCTGTTTACACCTGTTAACTAGTTGCCGACCGCAGATAGCCGAATGACGGCTGCACTGCGGCCGGCCAGTTCTGAGTGGACGTCATATGACGGCCTCCCAGAACGCGCTCTCCTGCGCTCCCCAGGGGGGGCGCACACGGCGATCTCCGTGATCGCTGTGTCCTGCGGACACAGCTGATCACGTGATGTGGTAAAAGGCCAATCACAGCGGTCTTTTACCACGTGATCAGCGGTGTCCAATGACACGCTGATCAGAGGGAAATGCAAGTGCCGGTTCTCGGCTGCACTTTCCTCACGCTGTCAGATCGTGAGGAAAGTACTGCCGAGAACCGGCAGTTGTCAGAGCGGGGATCGGCACCGATCATCAGGGCACTGATGATCAGTGCCCTGATGATCGGTGCCCAGCAGTACCACCCGCAAGTTCCGCCCACCTGTGCCCAGCAGTGCGCCCACTACCTCCGCCCACCTGTGCCCAGCAGATCACCCACCTGTGCCCAGCAGATCACCCCACCTGTGCCCAGCAGTGCACCCACCTGTGCCACTCTGCAGTGTCACACACCTGTGCCCAGAAGTGCCACCTACCTGTGCCCAGCAGTGCCACCCACATGTGCCCACCCACCTGTGCCCACCAGTGCCACCCACCTGTGCCCACCCACCACCACCAGTGCTGCCCACCAGTGCCACCCACCAGTGCCACCCACCAGTGCTGCCAGTCAGTGCCACCAGTCAGTACCCAGGGGTTGTGCCAGTCAGTGCCGTCTATCAGTACCCATCATCAGTGTCACCTATCAGTGCCGCCTATCAGTGCTGCATATTAGTGCAGCCTATCCGTGACACCTCATTAGTGCTGTCTATCAGTGCCGCCTATCCGTGCCACCTCATTAGTACTGCCTATCAGTGCCCTTTAGTGCTGCCTATCAGTGCCCATCAGTGCCGCCTATCAGTGCCCATCAGTTCTGCCTCATCAACGTACATCAGTGAAGGAGAAAAAATACCTGTAAAGCACCCAGCGGCGATTAAATACCACCAAAAGAAAGCTCTATTTGTGAGAAAAAAATTATCAAAATTTCATATGGGTACAATGTTGCATGACCGCGCAATTGTCAATCAAAGTGCGGCAGCGCTGAAAATTGGCCTGGTAAATAAGGGGGTATAAGTGCCTGGTAGGCAAGTGGTTAATGTCTGCATCCGTTAACCATTGCCCTCCAGAGGATTTACCCCCCTTCCTGACCAGGCCATTTTTTGCGTTAAGGCGCTGCATTACTTTAACTGACAATTGCGAGGTCATGCAACGCTGCACCTAAATGAAATTTAAGTCCTTTTTTTACCACGAATTGAGATTTCTTTCGAGTGTTATTTGATTGCCTGTGCGATTTTTTGTGCTATAAGCAAAAAAAGACCTACAATTTTGAGAAAACAAACAATATTTTGGACTTTTTGCTCTTAAACATGTCCAGTAAAAAAAATTGTAAAAATCAAATTTCATTATAAATTTAGGCCAAAATGTATTCTGCAACATGGCGGTATAGATACTGGGATTTTTTTTTTTCTACTAGTAATGGCGGCGATCAGCGACTTTTAGCAAGACTGTGGAACTGCGGTGGACATTCTGACACTGGGGGGGACAGTGGTCCCAATACAGTGATCAGTGCTAAAAAAACAGCACTGACACTGTAGTAATGGCACTGGGCAGGAAGGGGTTAATGTGAGGGGCGATCAAAGGGTTAACTATGTGCAGGGAGTGTTTTACTATGGGGTGGGGGGTGTGTGCTTCACTGTAAGCACACTGATCGGGGTGGCTATGCTGTGCTGTGTAATCACCGGCTGGGACCTAGTGATTGACATCCGTGGCCACGAACGGCAACACGGGTAGGGCGTGTGCCCCCTACCCGGAGATGAAAAATCACGTATATATTTTTGTGCACCCGTGCCACAGTGTAGTGATATATATGCTATATGCCGGTTAACATCTATTTTTTTGAACAGAAGAAAACCCTATTTATAAACGGACATTTTTGCATACCAATGCAAAAACGCATTGGTAAAGGATGGAAATAACTGATATAAAAACTGACAAGAAACTGATGAGAAACAGATCAAAATTGGATGTAAACTAATGAAAAATGAATGTAAACTGATATGAAAACAGAGGTAAAAAGTAAAGTCTTGATACGTTTAACTCCAATTTTTAAAAAAAAAACCACACACGACTGAACTGATGAAAAAAAAAGGAACACCCGTGTGAAAAGACCCCTAGGTTTATGTAACAATACTGTAACAATACTGACCATTGGAGGACAGGCAGGCTGTTTTCCCAGCACAGGAAGAAAACTGGCCACACTGGGAAGGATGTGTTCTCATGCCTAGAGTGGTCAGTTTGAAATAGGAAAACAGGTAACAAGCGCTTAAAACTACTGGATCAATTTAGGTAAGGCGGGAGGCCAGTGGCCGTTCATGTGATGTTCCAGTATCCCTAGTGATATCCTTAGCACAGGGTAAGCCCAGAGGGCCAAGGCTCTTCTTAGTCCTGGACAGAAGACCAGCACCTCAGACCAAGGGATCAACCTGTAAACACAGACCCTCCCAAAAGTATGCCTAGGAGTTTTGTTGTAGCTAGATCCAATCCACCAGTGATTGGTAAACCACTAAACATCAAGGTCAACCATTCCATGACTCATCCATCTGGATCTCTCAACAGACTCTGGCAGATGACACATCATAGGAAGTCACTGAGTACACACTGGTGGGCATACCAGTGCACTAAGGCAAAATCAAAAAATACATGCAGGGATTGGGGATCACATTTATACAAGGATAACAGGATAGAGTGTATAAGGGATTGTTTTCCCTTTTTCCTGATGGCTCCATGTCAGCACAGCTGGGTGAGGCCCCGCCCACCCCCTGACTGATCAGGACGTAACTCAATAAATTGACCCACCTCAGCCTAGGCGTTCCTTTTTCTTCCTCCTGCAATCAGGACAGGTGGCATCTCCCCTCCTAGCTGTTTTAATGGCTGGCTGTCCATCCAGAATTGCTCTCAAGGTTAGACGTGATGCCTGTACTTCTCTGCTAACAGGAGTTTGACCAGGGAGCCCTGTTGCTGGTCCTCAGTGCAGCAACAGGCCATGGTAAAGTACTGCAGGCTTTTGGGGTGTTGCATCGGTGCTCAGGATTCCTGCTGGTAGGGGTAGTCCCCTTCCCTTGTGGCTGCTGGTAGGGGTATTTCTTCCTCAGGCAGCTGCTGGTAGCGGCGGTTACTCTGATGGTGGCCTTCTTCCTGCTGTGGGTGATGACTGCTCATCCGCTGTGCTACTCTAAGGGGAGCGGCACCGGTCTCCCTGCTTCCCTGCTTCTTACTGGCGCTACGTGGTCAGTGTGTGTGGGCCAGCGTGGAGCGCACTCTGTGGCCAAGTTCTGAGTATGCGCGGACTGTTCAGCCAATCAGGAGAGGGGAGTCGGGTCCAGGCTTAAGGGAGGCAAAATTTAAAAGATGCTTTTGGCTGAAAGCATCTGCTGTGTGCTCCTACAGCCCGCCTGTGCCTGCTATTACCTAGCTCTCCTCCAGGTATGCATTGCACCTGCAAAGCTGTGCTCCTATGGTTCTATTCATTGTGCTGCTCTGCCTCATGCTCTTGATTTTATCTTTTTGCAGCAGTGATAACATGCCTACACCCTCTAAAGACCAGCGTTCTCAGATAAGGTTGGGGAGACATTGCCAGATGTGCATATTCTTTTTGGTGTTTTTTTTTCTGTTTTTTTAAGTCAATGACTAATTTTTGTTTGTCTGTGCTGCCCCAGTTCCTTGGGTCTTGGTCATTCCCGACGGTCAGAAGCAAGAAGCTCAGAAAGGAGTAATAGACGGTCATCGGCAAGGGAGGACCGACATTCCCGGGAAAGGACAGATACCTCACTTTCTCATTCAGCCTCTAGGGGTCAGTGCTCCCCATCACGATACGGCAGGGATTCGCATTGTGACCAACCTAGACCAGGAGGATGCTGGGCATGTCCTAGAAGAGCCATGCTGGGCAAGACGGCTTGTGAGACTTGCTTGAAAGAAGCAACCAAACACCAAGAGCCTGATAAGGCAGAAATGGTATAGTTAATGAAGCAGACATTTGAGGAGACATCAAAAGTGTTTGCATCACAGCCACAGCCATCAACCGCTCCAGTGCTGTCCACCTCGCGCACCTTGTTTCTGCAGATGCCGCCAGCTAGTCAAGTGATTCCAGAGGCCCAGGAACTTTTGGCCTCAGATGCTATTTCCTCTTAGGAGGATGAGGGCCATTATGACGGTTTTGATTTTGCCTTGGTTCAGCCTTTTGTGAAAGAGATTAGGCAGGCCCTGCTTTGGAAAGATTCCGGGGAAGAACCGCAGAAGAAACAGAGGAAGTTTCTCACAAACATGAAAAAGGGGTAAATTTCCCATTCATGGAAGAAATTCAGGACATAATTATGGATGAGTGGAACCAAGCGAATAAGAGAATCTCTTTTAAGAATCGGTTCGCAAAGCTATATCCCTTCAAGGCGGAGAGTATTAAGAGTTTGGAGAAGCCTCTGGTGGAGGACGCAGCACTTATGTGCCTCACTAGACACGTAACCCTAGATGATGCAGTGACATTCAGGGACATGTTGGGTAGAAGAGTGGATGTGGATCTTAAAAAGATTTACACAATTGCTAGTGGGGCATGTAGACCTTCTATGGCTTTGGCAGCTATTTCGAAGGCCATGGAGTCCTGGGTTCAGAAGTCAGAAATGGCAGTGGGAAGTGACCTGAGCAAAGCCGAGATCTTGGTCTCCATTGCCAATTTGAAGTTAACAGCTTATTTTATGGTGGTGGCATCATGATTAATACAGTGACAGCCAGAAGAGCCCTATGGCTGAGGCCCTGGGTGGTGGACCCAGCCTCCAAATAAGGATGGTGTAAGATACAATTTGAAGGGCAGTCCCTGTTTGGAAATAAATTAGACACTACCATTGTAAAAGCCACAGGGGGGAAGTCAGGATTTATTCCCCAGGATCAGAGGTTCCTGCACAAAAGAGGTGCTGCCAAGGACCAGAGGTAGAGATGCTAAGTCTTACAGGCCAGGAAGAGAATTTTGTCGTCAATGGTCTACCACGACTGCGAACTGCAAGTCAAAGAGGCCAAATTTGTCTCTGGGACAGGAGTCCCAGAAGTCTTTTTGACTATCTGCCAGCTCACGCTTTTTGCGTAGGAGCCAGATTATTCAAGTTCCATCAGGTGTGGGTACAAGAGGTAAAGGAGCCTTGGATAATTTCCACCATCCGGTTCGGCCATGCTTGGAAGTTCCTGAGGCATCCCTGTAGAATCTATGTCCAGACAAAATTACCTTTGGCAAGAGAAAAGCAGGATGTTTTATGGAAATACATAAAAACCCTCCTCAACCAGGAAGTGATAGTTGCAGTAATCCAGTAAGAAAGTTTTCCTGGAATCTACTCGCCTCTATTCCTAGTGCGGAAAAAGTCGGGAGCTTGGAGACCACTGATAGACCTCAGGAGGCTCAACATGTATATCAAGAAAATTAGATTCAAAATGGAATCTCTCCATACAATTTTGAAAATCATTGATCCAGGGGATTGGCTTCTACATGGTCTTCCGTCCATACCTTCATGACTCATTATTGTATATAACCTGCGGCTTTGACTACTGCTGATTTTGACAGGGGTGTCTTGGTCTCTGCTTCCAGGTGAAATTAAATCATTTTTGCATTACCCACCCATATGTGGCTAGGAAAATCCCAGCTGTGCTGACATGGAGCCATCAGGAAAATGAAAA